GAGATGACGGAACTTTAAGAAGGTCAATCCATAGGAAACCGACTTGGAACGGACATTTAACAAGTTTCTACAGCTGGGTACCAATCAGTCGGAAAAGAAACCTAATTAAATCCCTTGGCACTCGCGTCAGACGCATCTGCAGCTCCGACATCATGGAAGAAGAACTAAACTTCTTGAGGGAAATCTTCATACGAAATGGCTACCCACCAAGATTTATAGATAAAAACATCAAACAGAAAAACCAAAAGCAAGAGACACCATCCGTGCCTAAAAAGATACTTTATATGAACCTATACTTCAAAGGAGACCTACTTAATGACGTCCTCAGAAGGAGAATTTCCACCTTTTTAGGAAGAACTTTCCCTGCGGCAACATTACGAACAGTGTTCTCCAGTCGCCCGCTGATCTGCAGAAACCCAAAGGACAAGATTCCGCACATGACCACTTCTGTGTGTATATATTAGTTCACCTGTTGCTGTGGAGCCAGGTACATCGGCCATGCAACGCGCATCCTGTCAAAAAGGGTCAAAGAACACTATCCAGCGTAGCTACAGAAAGGAAATAATGGCCATATAAGGAGTGCAATAATCAAACATCTCGTCAACACTGGTCATTCCATCTCAACAAACGCCTCCTTCAAAGTAATCTACAAAGTGAAGAACAACCTTCCAAAGACAGTACGATTCCGTCTTCTTTGCATCGCAGAAGCCCTAGCCATTCAGTTGGTGGAACCAGAACTATGCATACAAAAGAAAATTATTCAACCACTTCTACTCGCATGGTAACAACTCCGTTGATTTGACCTAACTTTTCTTTGTTTGTTTGATTTGACCTTACTTCTGTTTGCATGCTTATTTTTCTAACTTAAAACCCTTGTGTAATTCTGTATATTATTTTGTTTCCATGTACACCCTGAGCACAACTCATTCATCAAACTATTCATGCCATCACGTAACTCTTATTTAACAATCATTTACGACAACTCATCACTTTTGTTACTATCCTCTTATATGAACATCCAATTCACCTGAACTTACCCTCTTTAACAATCGTTTTTGACAACTCACCACTTTTGTTGCTATCCTCTTATCAACATCAAATTCATCTGAACTTACTAATTGTATTTTCGTTTGACAAATCTAATGTATACACATACACACACAAAATAACCATATTTATTTGCAATTGTACAGCTATGAAAATGAATTCGCCGAAAAGATACTCTTCGCTGAGCTACTTGTGTTTTGTCTGCTGATATTCATATTGTTCTTTAAAACAATTAGTCCGTTTTATAAATTTTGGATAGCGTTATAAGAAGACACGGACGTTTATATGTCTTATGTTGAAGATTTGTCCCTTGATTTAATTTCTAAATTTCCCTTCTATAGGAGATACGTAGATATGATATTATTTTAATATGTAACGATCATGAAGATGCGAGTCGTCTCTTAGACAGACTTAACTCTGTACAGAATCATATCAGTCTAACATGCGAGGAAGAAAGTTGCAACTAGCTTGCATTTTTAGACATACTCTTCTGAGTCGAAGAGATGATGGCTCAATAAGATGATCAATTTACAGAAAGCCTAATTGGACAGTGCAATACCTTAATTTCCACAGCTTCTATCCTAATGGATAGTACAAGAGGGGTTTGGTGAAATGCTCATTTAAGAGGATTCATAGTGTTTGTACGGCTGTTATAGAGCAAGAAAATGAAATATTGATGAATACTCTTGTTGAAAACGGATGTCCTTTAAAATTTTTAAACAGGTGTAGAAGTCAGTTAGTCCTTAAACCTACAATCTATACTACCCCTAAGAATAATGTTTTCATCAAATTACCATATCGTGGTGAAATAAACAGTAGGATTTTGAGACAAAGGTTAAATTCGGTCATCTGTAGGACCTCTCATGAAGCCCGGGTTTTAATCGCCAAAAAAGTCAAAAATATGCTCCACTGCAAACCTCAAAAATGTACAATTGATTATGTAACGTCCAATTTTCGTGTGTGTCTGGACACACACATACATAGGGAGGAGTAATCGTGCTTCGCAAGTGACGGTGAGAAAGCATAACCAGAAATGGTTAGAAAGACAAATGGAACTGACGTTCCTCGGTGATATCAGCGAAATATTAACACACCGCCTGAAGAATGCAGTTAAAAGAGCTTATTATGCAGCCGAAGTATGTTGTTTCTTCACTACCACCCTTATTCTACGTTCGAGAAATAAGGACAGAATACCTAAATTTGCCTCCTCTATGTGTATCTACCATTCTGATTGCAGCTGTGGAGCCAGTTACGTCAAACGTACAATTAGGCAGGCATGGCTAAGCAAGGGACAATCAAAGACTATTCGTAGCTCTATTTTAGCACACCTTGTAGATAGTGAGCATAAGGTTGACGTTAATACATCATTTAAAATTATTTATCGCATTCCTACTAATCCTAATTTTGCTCTAGGAGTTCGCCTTCTACATACAGCTGAAGAAATAGGAATCCACCTGAAGAAGCCAGCCAAACCTGTGTGTTCAGAATAAAAAATTGTACAGCCACTTTCCTTACCTTGGCCATCGTTACATGATTGTATAAACCGGACTACTTCATCCCCCTCCCCCAAAAATATTTTTTCTCTTTAAAAAACTATAAAAACTATAATTGTCCAAATTATTTTACTTTTCTGACTACTTCGTCTTTAATTACGTGTTATCCTTGTAAAAAATTAGTTTATTCTTATGACCACTTCAACTTTAGTTACAAATTATCATTGTCCAAATTGTTTTATTTTCTTTAACAATCTGTTACGTAATCAACCTGTGCACACGCTTATTCCTTAATTGTACTTCAATTTTCCAAAATTATGCATTATGCAATCCACGTGTTGTAACCATTTCCACCTTTTAATTATGCATATTAATTTTTCTTCGTTAATTATTAATCCATTGACATTTTGACACTGACTAATTATTGTTAACAAACATATCACCAGTTGATTGGTAAATTGTTGTGTATTGTAATAAAAGTGCTATATATATTAGAGTAGAGTCAGAGATGAGGATCTAATTGGAAAGTAAATATTTCTTCACTCAATCCTTCTGCTGACAAATGAATTGTGGAAAATCAATCAATCTATAGCCAAACATCTAATCGAGATGAACCATAAGATTGATGTTCACACAGCCTTTAAGATCGTCTATAAAATTCATCAAGGGAGCTTATTGAAATACGCTGATGCTATTCTTAAACTTAAGCCCACACACACACACCTTGTGTGTGTTCAAATACAGTTTGTTATTACGCTTAACCTACCTTGGTAATTCTTATTTGATTGGATTACCAAACGTTTGTGTTAATTATTCTTAATTCTCTTTTTGTCAATTTGTTTAATTTAACTTTTTCATATGTATATTGACTTGACAAGTAAATGTGTGATCAGATTGTTCGAAATGTATGGCGCAAATACATCATATTTTTTCATAATGTTCTGCCTATTTCGATATCACTTTTTTGGGGGGGGCGGAGGGTACCGAAGTCACGTTTTAAAATGAAACAATGAGAAAAGTGAATACAGACGTGCTATATCATAGCAGATATATTCATGTCGATATTGGAAAAACAAATGCAAGGTATGCTAGAATTTATGCTATATAAATGTTATGTAGATGATAGTCTCATTATTGGTAATAATAGTAAATCTATTGAAAACTTCATTACCCTATTTAATCATATTCATCCAAATATCCGAGTGACTTCCAAACTCGGTATCCTGGATAATACAATGACCAGGAGAGATGATGGAGCGATTCAGCAATCTATTTTTCGTAAACAGACATGGAGTGGACAATATTTTCATTTTACCAGTCTTGCCTCTATCCAGTATAAACGTTCCCTAGTGAAATTTTTGTTCTCAAGGGCCCGAAAAATATGCACGAGTGACACATTGATGGATGAATTTCGACATATACATTCAGTTTTATTAGCTAATGGTTATCCGGAAAATTTTATCACTTGTCAGAGTTAAGAAAGATCACATATCTCGAAAAGACAGCTTCTGTACCAAAGAAAGCCATCTTTATTAACCTACCATTCAAGGGCGACCAGATTATGCAGTTGACAGCTAGCTCAAAGACTTCGGTCAGCCATCAAAGGTTTATTCTACGCTGCATCTATTTTTCTCACTTGCCGAACATTTTCGATCTTTGTACCTACGATTAAAGGACGAAATTCTGTAGACTCTACTTCAAACTGTATCTACAATAGAATGTTCCAGTGTGGTTGTCGAAAAGAACATGTTCCAAAATGGTTATTAAAAAACATAGAAAATCCTAATGCAATCAATTTGAATAGAAATCCATCATCATCATCCATTGCACAGCACTTATTATTAATGTCTAATCACAAAATCAATATTAATGACTGTTTCACAATTATTTCATCACATAACTCTAATTCGGGGCTGGTTATTAAAGGTGTTGCAAGCACTTTGGAGGATTAATCACATACAGGCTAAACTGTGTGTACAAAAAACAATCGACTTCAACCTTCGCCTACCATGGACTACAAGACCTATTTAAATGTGATTGTTCATTAGTATGTACTTTTGTTTTTTTATTTAACCGAGTAATTGTCATGCGTTTTATTTTATTATTATTGTGAACCATGTTAGTTGTAAAGCAGTTGTAAAGAAACTACGAAATGACGATATCATCTCGCGAAATTCGTCTCCTAAATGTCTTATTCAAATATATCATATTCAGGAAAGAAAAGTCCGAAATAAGAAGACTGTTAAAGTAATTACAGCTTTGTTTATTATTATTATTATTACCACCGTTATTAGCATCATTATTATTATGTATAAAAGAATATTAATTTATATTCAAGAATAAACAAAATAGGTATTAGACAAATCTACATGGTTGGTTGTCTTTCTTCATTAAAATCTCATATTGTATCCTTCTGAAATGATTATGATAGCTTAATAATACAAATAAACTACGCTTTTGTTATATTCCATGCTCTGATAAATATGATTTCACTTTTAACAAAGCTTTATATCTATGTGATATAGAATTTTTGGTGGCTTTATCTAATTCAGCATACGTTTCTGTAAAACCATCTGGTTGAAATATACAATCCCATCCAAAATCCTGTGGTCCACGTGGTGAAACAATACAACCGGTTGTAATACCAGTGAATAATTCGACTGGAGTTTCAAGGCTGTGACAGTAAGCAAAAGTGCATACAGCTTCTGCACGAAAATCATTAAAGCCAGTTAACATTCGATAAAGTCCTAAAATTAAGATAATGAATTTGATGTGAATTTTTAAGAGAAAAAACAGCAACAACGTGACATATGTGCACAGAATGATGACAGGATCAACAACAAGGAATATAAGTCATCAGTACTACTTCCACACAAAGAAGGAACGTTGGAAACCTTAGGCAAAGTTCTTAACAATACAGGAGTCCATAAACTCAAATAGAAACAAGCTTTGTTGATTAAAGGACGCTGTGGAACCAATTAAACAAAACAATTTAGTTTATCTAATACCCTGCTGGAATGATTCTCAGGTAAAATACATAGGGCAAAGTAGTAGAACGGGATGAGTCAGACCAGTGGAGAACAAAACCCTAGCAGCGAAATCTACATTAGTTGACCAGAATACGATAAGGAATCTAGAGAATAGTCCAGCTATACCACACAACACATTTATTTACAGATAATCATACAATATTTTATTTATTTTTTTACTTTATTTTGATTGCAGCTTGATTCCACACCGTATTTTTGGGACAAGTGTGGAATTTTCAGCGTGGATATCGGTAGCCCAAATTTCGCAGACCGAGCATAGATATCAGGTGTGCGTCGACGTGGGCTCGAACCCCGGACTATGTGCATGGTCGGCGAGAGTCCTAACCACTGTGCCACCGACGCTGAGGATGGGATAAGGTGACAGTTTTAAAATCTAATGTTACAGAGTGGAGGGAGAAAATGATAACGGAAGCTATATTTATCGAACCAACTAAAAATACGTGTATTAGGAATAATTCAACACCTGGCTCGGACATCTGGGAAATTCTACAACCCCTACGGCTAATGGGAAGGGTAGTTTCGAAGCTGTTCAGTAATAATATGATAATAATAATAATAATGATTTACTTTATTCCAAAAACAGTACTTGTGATACAGAATGGAATTTTCAGCATTAATCACAATATTGCATCTAATATCCTCAAATAATAAATGAAATTAATCACACAGAAAATTTTCCACATTTACAATAGGGGTAATGTCAAAAACAAGCAGCATATAAAATGGAAATAATAATAATGAAAACAGCTAAGGTAATAATAATAATATAAGTGAAAATTACCGTGGGCTTGTTTCACACAGCATTGACAATGTGGTATAGGAATCCTAATATGTTTAAAAATTATTGAATATAACGTTCTCTTTACATGATATGGTGAGGAGAAAAACAAAGATTACAGCAATCACAGAGATAAGTTGGTGTTTGCAATTATGAAAGTAAAACAAACAAAAGAGCAACAGGACCATAAATATAATAGAAATAATAAAAGTAAAACTTGAAGGTATATAAGGATGGATGGAGGAAATTGTTTATTTACTAGACGAAAAAAGGTTAGTTAATTCTTGTCTGACACTATTTTCATCACATAAAATACGTGCCGAGTAGAATATCATAGAATTTTTATACTTAGACGTGCGAGCACACAGTTTTCTGAAGTTACTTCTTGTCTTACCTGAGGAGATGCAAGGTGAAAGCTGAGGGTAAAGTGGATGCTCCAAGTCAGACAAAATCCCTCTAGTAAATTTACTGCATGAAGTCAAGTGCCTATCGACGATGTTAACTATGTGGTCCACTGGGACACTGTCTGTCTGTCTGGATTCAACATAGAACTTGGCACCGAAGTGCAGCAGTTCGAGTTGCCACGTTCCAAATAGCACACAGAGGTAGACAAGAAGATGAGTGAAGAGAATCAATAGAGTTTGACAAGTATAAGAGTGAAACAGAATGGGTAATGGTAGAAAGGAATATGAAAGATTACAGAGACTGAATACATCTGCGCCATTGACAACGATTTTGAGCCATGTCACCTATTGTCTCCAGCCATTGATTCCTAGAGTCCCGAGGGCCCCAACCCGGGAGTCTGCATCTCCCTACCTGACTCAGTTTAACTGTCAAGGATTTCATGGATTGATGCCATGTTTTTGTTTGGCCACCACTGGCTCTTTTCCAACCTGAACCTATATCAGCTAGCAATGCCCGTCGGGGGAGGCGGTGGTTAGGCATGCGCAGCACGTGACCTAGCCATCTTAGTCTATGTAACTTTATAGCCTCGTCGATTGATTTTCCCTCTTTGCCCAACACTCTACGCCTAACGTCAACATTACTTATCTTGTGAAACCACCTAACGTGAGACAGAGATCGCAGACATCTATGATCGAAAGCAGTCAACCTTTTCATGTCTTCAACGCGTATTGGCCATGTTTCAGAGCCATAGAGAAGGACGGAGCGAACTGATGAGCAGTACACACGTCCCTTGGTTGATAACCGGATGTCACGCCTACGCCAGAGATGGTGTAAGTCAGCGAAAGCAGCTCGAGCTTTTCGGATCCGTGCTGAGATTTCATCGCCAATCAGTCCGTTGGTGCTAATACAACTTCCCAAATAGGTGAAGTGGTCAACATGTTCTATCACTTCACTCCCTATCACTAAGTTAGGGGTTGACGTGGTCCAGTCCTGTAGCAGCATCTTACATTTTGCAGGGGCGAATCGCATGCCAAACATACGAAGATTGCTGCTCAAGGTGTTCAGAAGACTCTGCATTTTGTCAGCATCCTCCCCTAACAGGACTATGTCATCTGCATATTCTAAGTCCATAAGATTATTCCCTGGTAACAAGTCGATTCCTAAGTCATTACGTTCAGTTAAGGATACTTCCATTAGCATATCTATGATGAAGTTAAACAGAAATGGGGAAAGTGGACATCCCTGTCGGACACCACTGGTTGTTACCAATTCAGATGACAATTCCCCATAAGCCCTTACACGACTACGTGAGTTTGAATAGAGTGCCTTGATTAGTGCAATGTACTTTCTTGGCACTCCCTTCACAGTCAGACATTGCCATAGTACCTTTCGATCCACGGAGTCGAAGGCCGCCTTCAAGTCAAGAAATATGACAATTGTTGGACGCCGAAAAGTGTGTCTATGTTCTAGAATCTGTCGAAGAGTGAAGATATGATCTATGCACCCTCTACCTGGTCTAAAGCCTGCTTGATTTTCCCTTGTCTGTTCCTCCCGAGTTCTGCTTAGTCTATGCATGATTACTGAGCCTAGGATTTTAGAGACTATGTTCGTTAGGCTGATCCCCCTATGATTATCACACGAGGACTTGTTTCCCTTCTTGAATATCGGTATAATAAGTGACTTACCCCAGTCTGATGGTACTGTCTCTGATTCCCAGACTTTGCCTAGTACCTCAGTTAATCTACAAACTAGTATGTCACCCCCATATTTAAACACCTCCGGAATAATTCCGTCGGGTCCTGCCGCTTTGCCTCGTTTCAAATTACTGATAGCTTTTGTGACCTCACTTACAGACGGCGGACCAGTGTCTATATCCCATTCGGGTGTGTGCTGGATGTCGGGGAGGTTCAGTGTGGCTGTAGGCAAGTTAAATTGTCCCTCAAAGTGTTCTTTCCAGCGTTCAAGCTACTCACTACTCACCCTACAGACCGTCTTCAGCATTCTACGAATTGTGACATAGTCCTTTTTAAGCAAACCAGGAAAGAATAAGGGTGAACAATAAAGAAGAATAGGTAGGATGCAAGAGTTTATGAACTGTAAGAGGAGGGTTTGAGTTATACCCGAGTGCCTTAACTTCTTAATGTAAAATGTCAGGCGGAATATTTTACTGGAGATTGCTAAGATATGGGAAGACCAGGAGAGATTAGAAGAGAGAATAAGCCCGAGATACTTAATTTCTGATTTAATTCCTATATCACTGTCGTCAATCTTCCAACTGTCATGAGAATCGACATGATTATGAACAATAAACTGCGTTTGAAACTTTGCCATCCAGTAAATAACACTGTTCATCTGGGTGTGATGTATCTAATAAACAAATTAATATCAAATTAAATACTACAACAATGAACAAATTCTACACACATACCAATAGCAAATATTTTTGCAGATAAATTCCAATGATAGATCATAGTGGTTTTATTAGGAACGACTATACCTCTAATTGTTGACTACTTGTGCCGGAGCAAACACTAACTGTCAAGTAGGTCTAACACAAACTCCATGTAACCATTCATACATAATTTAATAAATAATATGGCAAACTCAACAGATACAATTTTAACAGCACAACAGCGTACCAAAAGTGCGTTGACTTTTAATATTTCACAATCAAAAGCAACCAAAGACATTTAATACATATTTCAGTCGAAATCGGACTCTCTTTATTGACTGACTGAGTGGAAAGCTTTGTACGCTTATGAAAGTTCAAGTGTTGAGTTGTAGGAATTTGATTAATTACAGGATTTCATCATCAGCCGACATTAGTTAGAGTGCGTACTGATGAAGAGTCCCAAACTAGGGCGAAACAGTTGTCCAGCACTCCCAGGTTTTCCAAAAGTTCTCTAACTAATGTCAGCTTATGAAAGTGTATGAGAGGTTATATTACTTCCCGACAGATCACACCGTCAAAGTTGATTCTCCATAGAATGCTTGGAAGTCGGTCAAAGACGGCTTCATTCCGACTTCCAGTTGTGTCCGTATGAACATCTGCCGATGAAAAACTACCGCGAGGAAAGTTGCAATGTATAATTTACGGGGACAGACATTCCTGAGCACCCCCCACCGTACAAATTCGCAGTACCAAGAGGCACCAAAGCCAACTAAAACGTCTTCAAGGGAAAACACCTTGTTGTTACATCCTACATTTTCGATACAACAATCTGACCAAAGACCGCAAAACTAGGTTAAACACCTTACTGTGTTTAAATAAAGCAAGAACAACAGTGGTTTGTGCAGAATAAGATGGTACCATCATTTATTTTGTTGGCTACTTATCAGCTACCTAGAGCTTAAAGAAATTGTGAAAGTATATGTACAGAACAATTTTAACACACTTGCAAACGTTACATGACGTCAGTTGACAGGAGACCCCAGACTTAATAAATAGTACTCAAGAACTCCACTTATATAGTTTATAAACAGAGGGTTCCAGTTTAAACAAAAATAAATGTTTGCATACAATGGTAAAGGAGTTACATAATAAGAATGAGAGATGCGAAAGACTAATAACTGCCTATTTCTGAACACATAAATCGGGTTTCAGGCGTTTGGCAGGAACAGGTTCGGCAAACTTCAGGAGACTTGAGCGTTCTGTCTACTGATACTTTTAAAGGAATTTTGGATTTCCACCCCATGACCCGTATCAAGATGCCTAGTAATGGCATTACTATAAAGGGTTTGTTCCCTTGTCACGTAGGCTTTCGGGGACATGTCCAAAAAATCCGAGATGTACCTTTGCTTCTTCTTCTTTCTTTGCGGTCTTTCAAAATTATATTCACGAATATGAACATGACAGTTCGTCTCATGGAACACAAGACTGACATTATGAATAAAGGTGGTACAATTACAGGAATGTGGACTAGAAATCTAGTTCATGAGTCACATAGCACGTTAAAAATATAACATCGGGGTGCTGTTTAACAATACGGATATCAAATTCGTGACGAATGAAATAAAATTAAATGTAACCGGCAGAAAAATATGTAACAATTACCTTCTGGACCTGTTGATTTAAGAAACCACTTCACAAATGGTCCAGGCATTCCATTCATTGCATTAAAACACAAAGCTGTATCTTCCACTAAGACCGGTCCACCCACTTGACTATATGCAGATAAGCATTTCTCTTTGCTCACTTCTTCAATACTACCTTGGATTTCAGGTAAGTCCAATGCAACTGTTTTGATCTAAAACTTATTAAGACATATTGTGAAACGCCACCTACTTTTTCGGCATACTCCTCACCAACAATTTTTAGGAATTCAGACAATTTCTTTGGATTACCTGTAACAAAAGTCAGGGAACGGGTCATGAATGCTTTGATTTGAAAACCCGGTGTAGACCTTGGAAACCTAAAGGTCATACTTCCAATATCCAATATCGTATAAACTAAATTCATTTCTTTGTGCTCGCTTCTTGATCATGAGGTAAAAGTTCCTCCTCTTCGGTAAACTTCTGAGTAGTTCATCCCACCACTCGACAGTCATAGCTTTGCTGGCCTCAAAAGGAGTAATGCTGGGGTTGATCATGTTGTTTGTGGCATGCGGTGTGTTAAGTCCTCGTTGCTACTGTGAGTGGAGTCGATCCTTCCTCCAGTTAGTCCTCCTGTATTGTCATCAAAAGGAAAGATCCAATGATAATAGATATAATCGATATAATTGAGACAATAAGACAGAAAAAGAAATAAAGAAAACGTAAAAACAGACAGGTAATTAGATTTGCGGTTAATATATGTATATATAATATCAATAATAAATGTAAGTGTAGTATTTGAATTGGTTAGGACCTTTTCCAAGAGGTTAGCGTCCCCACTAATTTCCACTTTTTCAGGTATGACTTTCAACCTGAAAAGTGCAAATTAGTCAAATTATGCACCTGTAGGTTGCAGAATGCAAGTTACACCCTGTGCAAAGAAAGCTTACCCTTCAAAGCACCGGAGCATGACTTAGGCCTAGTTCTAGTGGAGAAAATGAACACAAGCGTGAATCACACTGGAAGTTTGGCGAAGGCATATATGGCCATGCGCCTTACACATACACAGTTAGATGTACTCACTCCTGAGCTCTTTACAAGGTTGAACAAAACATGCGTCAGACCATACCTGGAAGTGCATACAACCAATGCATAACCACTCAAGTTTCGGTCGCTTATCGATCATATATTGGCTGAATGGTTATGTTTCAGTCACTATCAAAAATTTATAACTCTTCTTCAGTGTTTATATATTATTATATTTTATTACAGCTTGACGCCACACGGTATTTTGGTACAAGTATGGAATTTTCAGCATGTGATATCGGTAGGCCAAATTTAGCAGGCCGACCATTGATATCATGTGTGCCTCTGCCGGAAGTCGAACCCCGAACCATGTGCATGGTCTGCGAGCATCCTAACCGCCATGCCACCGACACATAGTTTGTATGGACTTCTAGCTGCTGGCTGAATTCAATGCACCAAATGTTTTGTCATTTTGCTGTAACCTCGTCAGTTTCTTTCAAATGTCCCGTTTTTTAACCATCCACTGTTCCTTATAAAATCCGTTCGAACACAAGAACCCTGAGACAAAATCACTCGTTTATTTGACTTGCCTCATCTTGTTTTTCAAAGATTTCCACTGATTCTTATTCAGTCTTCAGTCCTCTACAACAAATGACTGCAGACTGTGGAGAGCTGTGTTAATCCTTGCAACATGCCTTAGCCTTTATCCGAGGCGCTTGCCTAAGCAGATGACACAGTTTAAGCCCGGTGATCACTGTATGTAAGAATAAATTCTGTAAATTCTACTTGTAATGTATTCCATCAGCTGAAACACCATTTTATGATGACTTACACGAATCATTCTGTAAGGAGAGAAGAATTCAGAGGTACAAGCATAAAAACCGTTGACCCAATGACGGTGAAGACAAGCAAAGGGTTCTTTCAAGCATGCGTTAGTGAAATCTGCTAATTGCCTCAATGAAACTTCTGATGGCTGAAATGAGTAGAAATACATTTCGAAAAGCGCAAACGAATAAACACTGTTGTCACAGGAATTCCAACACTGAGCTAACAGACACTGGTCACTGTTATCAAATTTCCGATTTGAGGACGAGCTGTAATAATTTGCTGTCCGAAGACAACGTAAACTAACTGAAAGGACCAAATAAGAACAGTGACATTGTCATAATAATAAATTATTTCTCATGAAGAAGCAAGCCATTTCCACAGAAATGAACATGTGTACATAGTGACAATTTGCTGGTAATTATGACAATATCTCTTACCACAAAGTTAGAACTTTTACTGGTCCAGAATACTGAGAAGAGCATGAATAATCAGACAGATGTTTGATGAAACTGGCCTTTATGATGCTGATTTCTATAAGACTTGAAAGCAACAGCATATCAATTTCTGGTCATTTGTACGCTGGCAATTTCGTAGTTCACGCCGTTGTGGCAGATAACTCCCCAGAATTAATAGACACAACATTCATCATTGAACACTGAATGCTGACTTTCACAGCTTCAGTCGACTTGTTTATCTGAAAGCCAGCGATCAAGTATCCACGCCATTTGGCACGTCGTCTTAATGTATTTGGATGTCCGCGAATTATCCCTGGCTAGTTAAGTAATCATCCTCGAACTACGATCTTGGTCCCAAAATATACTTCGTGTTTTTGGGCGATCGATTCAGTGTTTCGCCTCATCTTTGGTTTATGCTGCACAAATACAGTAGAAGGATCTTGCGTTAGTATGCATCGTACAATCTGTGGACGTCAAAACCTTCAGCATTCAAAACTTTATTGGGAGACGAGTGGTGATTTGAAATGACTTCTGTCCAAACGAGACACGTAAGCTCGAAAATTTGCGAGCATTATTGGTTGACGCGAAATGAAACACACGAAGAAGTTTGTGATCCTGGATCTGGCATTCGAAAAGTCAGAAAAATTCACAGCCTCTGATAAGCATAACATTACTGTGTCGTTCGCGGTTATATAGGGCAAACCTTGAATTAATGAACAGAATACATGACAAAGATATAAGAATAAAACTTGTGCACTGTGGAAGAGTGTAATTCCATTATGGGTAAATTTTGTTTTGATAAAGTCTCACAGTGTTATACAGTAATGTTTACTGATGACGTTTCGAGCACAATTTATTGCTCATAATCATATCAAGGTAATCACATGACTTCCTAAATTCATTTTAGGAAAATTTACCCATAATGGAATACATGACGAAGGTTGTTCTGATTAGTGTTGGATGTGCAAACATTTTTCTGGATATCGCCAGTGTGATTCTAATGACTTCTGCACTTTTGTCGACTGACACCACTGTAAATGACAGCATTATTCTCTCGGTGACATGATCTATGACATCACCTGTGGAAGGAGAAGAATACAGGAGAAAAGTGCAGAAGAAGCTAACAGGTACTGATACTTTGAAACAAACAATGTCTGATAAATAAAGGGTTCAGTTTCTGTCCGGAAGTTGCAGTTATGCAATTCTGGGTGCGTCTGAATAGCGACCAGTTAGAACGAATAGTAATAATAAAGGGATGGTAGTCCCCAGGATTTGAGTTGGTCACAAGGAATGGTCGCGTGAAAAACTTTAAACCCAATTACCATGGTGCTGAAAATATGTGGAAGAAAAGCGGATGGTTATTAATCCACACTGCCCTTCTGGTATTGTGTGTTTATTTGAAGCAGCGAGCTCATGCCGTGTACTCCTATTATGTGTAAGTTTGTGTTGGTGGTTTCACGTGGTATTTATCTTCGTTTGGATTGGTGCGCTACAATTGCTTAGTTACATAAAACTCTCATATCTCTGGTGTTTTGACCACGAAGTTTTGGAAATTATTGCAATCCATTTACTTTTGAACACTAAACCTGTGGATATAATCTTGTCGACTACTAATACCTATAACAAATTGTTTGACATTTTGTGACTAACTCATATCTGTAATTGTATATATTGTTGGATTTATACGTTCAAGTTGTCCCAAGTCAGTGAGTCTGTCGTTTTGGTATCATTGTAGTTAACTGTGCTTAACTGTTGTCAGCCGCGTCTCTTAAACCGTTAATGCCCAGCCCTTGCTACGCTTCGGCTCACTCTGTTCCTTGAAGTTTCTCAGAAACGCTTAGCTTAGTAATAACGGACGCAAAAACCAAAACAACAATTGGCGACTCGAGGATTCTTTATTGTTACACCAACATATAAACAATGTTACAACTAAGGCCTGTGAACAAATATTACAATGATAAATCACAATATTACTTCTGACGGTTGTCTCCTGACTTCTTTCTGAACAGCGACCGATGAGACGATGACTGTCGTATTGATAACTCCGCGAAAATTGGGGAAGTTGGGTTTGAGCAAACAGCCATGAATTGATCGTTCAATCTTCAACTACATTGACAACTGTATTGTATGTCGTTGTATTGTATTCTTGTTGTCGTTCGTTGCCCTTTTGGCTGTGAATTATTTTCCTTTTACTGGTGTTGTTCTGATTGTTTTATTCCTTGTATTCCTTTTTTTCCGATTTTAAGTGGAGCAGCCCACAAGGTAGCTTCTCTCTAAAATTTATCTTAATGTAACAATTTCTTTCTCAGGCGTGAGGCTAGCAACCCCACCCTGTAAACAAAGTTGTTACAGAAACGTCAGATCGATGAATCTCTTTGCGCCAAAAGAAAAAGTCTGTGTGGGGACATGGAACATCTGCACCATGCGCGAGATTGGCAAAGCTGCCCAGATCGCAAACGAGATGAAAAGATACGGAATCCATGTACTGGGAATATGTGAAAGCAGATGGCACGGGAATGGACTCACCAAATTGTCAACGGGTGAATCAGTGATCTACTCCCGTCACCCAGAAGATAACCACACGCACACCGAGGGCGTGGCTATCATGATATCACTGACGGCAACAAAGGCTCTGATGCAATGGGAGGCGATCTCGTTCAGGATAATGACCGCCAGATTCAACTCCAAAGGAAGGAAAGTGTCAATACAATACAATGTTATGCACCCACAAACAACGCAGACCTCGAAAAGAAAGAAGAATTCTACAGACAACTACAGGCAGCAATGGACAATACTCCAGCTGGTGACATTAAAATACTAATGGGAGACATGAACATCAAACTGGGACCAGACAACACAGGAAGGGAACTCATCATGGGTAGAGAAGCTCTCGGAGAAATGAATGAAAATGGAGAACTCTTCGCCGACTTCGGCGCCTTCAACGAACTAGTGATTGGTGGCAGCGTATACAAGCACAAAGATATCCACAAGGCTACATGGGTGTCACCAGACGGGCAAACCAAAAACCAAA